AGTCCTGTCTCCGAACATGAGGTGCACTTGTTTTGGAATTTGATTCGCCGGGGAGGCTGCGGACACCCCGCCCACCGGTTAACTGGACTCACTGATTGGTCATTAGCGTCGCCTGTCTCGGGGACATCAGAAGAGGCACGAGTTGGCCCGTAAGCCTGCGCTTTGGTCCTCAGTGTCGGACACGTAATGGGAACGAGCAGGTCCTGATGCGCAAGTCACGGCAACCGCGGTGGAGATGAAGGCGGGCTCCGACTGCCTCTGATTGCTGATAGCCCATTCCATTCAACCATCAATATGGCAAAGCCCTTATGCCGCGAACCCACTGCTGCAAAAATGGCGTCCCTGTACCGGGTCCGAGCTCTGGCGTTGGTTTTTTTGACTGTCACTGGCTGTTGTGTCACCCCCACAAATGGCAAAGAAAACTCCGAGGAGACCGTCATCATTGGGCTGCGCCTGGAGGACACGGACGACATTTCCTTCATGGACAGGGGCTACCTGCGGGTGAGTGAGCGCTCCCGGGTCAAACTAAGGGTGTACGGCCAGAACATCAACAACGAGACGTGGTCCAAGATCGCTTTTACTGAACATGAGCGGAGCCGGCCGCCGGGGAACCTTGACAGCTCCTCTGGGGAGAGCCACGAGGACCTGTCCGGCTCTCATCCATGTGGCATTAGGACATCAGATATAATTATTTTGCCCAACATTATTTTAAACCGAAAAACGTCGGGAATAGTTGAAATTGAGGTCAAACCTCTCAGAAAGACAGAGAGGAGTAAATCTTATTACCTTTGCGTGGCCACTTCGACTCCTGCGGGCTCCTATGACCCGTGGACAGAGAACACCTGGATCTACCATGACGGGGATGACACCAAAGTGATAGTGGTGGAGGAGAAAAAGTTTCTGCTGCCGTTCTGGCTGCAGGTCATCTTCATCTCGATGCTCTTGTGTTTGTCTGGGATGTTCAGTGGTTTGAACCTAGGCCTCATGGCGCTGGACCCCATGGAGCTCCAGATAGTTCAGAACTGTGGTACGGAGCGGGAGAAAAATTACGCTAAAAAAATAGAGCCGGTTCGGAGCCAAGGGAATTACTTACTGTGCTCTCTTCTTTTGGGGAATGTGTTGGTCAACACCACGCTCACCATCCTGCTGGATGACATAGCAGGGTCAGGTCTTATTGCTGTGGTCATGTCCACTATTGGAATAGTCATTTTTGGAGAGATAGTTCCTCAGGCCATCTGCTCCAGACATGGGCTGGCAGTGGGAGCTAACACCATCTTTCTCACAAAGTTCTTCATGCTGCTCACCTTTCCTGCATCCTACCCAGTCAGCAAGCTCTTGGACTACCTGCTGGGACAGGAGATAGGCACCGTTTACAACCGTGAGAAGCTGCTGGAGATGCTGCGTGTGACAGACCCCTACAATGACCTGGTGAAGGAGGAGCTGAACATCATCCAAGGTGCTCTGGAGCTCAGAACTAAAACTGTGGAGGACGTGATGACCCCCCTGAGAGACTGCTTCATGATCCCAGCGGACGCCACTTTGGATTTCAACACCATGTCTGAGATCATGAAGAGTGGCTACACCCGGATTCCTGTATTTGAGGGCGAGAGGTCAAATATAGTGGATCTGCTGTTTGTCAAGGATTTGGCCTTTGTGGACCCTGATGACTGCACCCCTCTCAAAACCATCACCAAGTTTTACAGCCACCCACTGCACTTTGTCTTCAATGACACCAAACTGGATGCAATGCTGGAGGAGTTTAAAAAAGGTGAGCAAAACTCACTACACTTTAAATATTAAATCTGTTGTATTTTCAGCCTGATGTGCTTTAACTAAGTCACATGTGGCACAGGACCCAACCGAAAGAAAACAAAACTAAATTCTTCAAAATGTATAAACAATTTATTGAACAAATAGTATATATGAGCCATTCATCAACATCAATTTTCTTCTTCTGAGTTTTAGACACTTATTTAGAAGCATAATAGAGAGCCAAACTAGTTTTTCAGGAATAATTATTCAAGCCATCGAGGTTTTACAAGAAATTCCAGTACCAAATAATTCCAGGTAGTCAGGGGAAAAGAGGCGGAGTGCTCTGAGCTGAAGATGTTGTTTTTGCTCCGTAGGCATGCTTATCTGAGTGCTGCGACATCAGTGAGGGGCACTTGTTACAGCCCCACTGGTCACTTCCTGTTCTCTCTTAGCAGGGATCCTTATCTCCCCATCACTTCCAGTCAATGTTAATGTTCACACTGTTTGTTTCTCTTTCTCTCCTCCCTTTCTCCTCCTGCTTTTTCTTTCCTTCTCTGATTCATTCAACCATTCACCTCTCCCCTACCTCTCAGTCAATGAACGCGTGGGACATGTGGGAATGGTGCAATGCCACTGCTCAGGTTATCAGGCAGGGCATCTCGTTTGAGAGCCTACTTAAATCCCTTGTACCTCTCTTGTGCTTGCATCTGAAATGATGTTGGTGATGATAACTTCTTTTGTCCAGCCCTGGAATGCATTCGTGTGGATAATGAATAACAGCCTAACACTCTCCAGCCCCCCCATGTGGGTTCTGTGTACGGGCATGGTCTGTAAAAAATATGTTTACCTGCTGTTCTGAAGAGTCTCACTTCTGTTATTGCTTCCTAAAATTCAGACTCGTTGGTCACGTATTGGTGATCAGTTGTAAAGAAACAAACATTCAGTACCAAAGCCTACCATTTTTAGAATCATAGCATAGCCAAATTATTATTACATGATTAACTTCAGAGAGGTTTGTTTATTTTTGTACCAGTTGCTTGTTTACATTTATTTGGCTGGAGATGCATTGTCTTTGGGTTCAAACATTAACAGAGTGCTATTGCAAATGTTAGCCATGTCAAAACTACTACTCTAGTTGTTCTAAATCTCAGGACACACCTGCCTGTACAGCTTCATAATGATAATGATAATTGCATTCTGTTTTGTAATAAAGTTTAGTCTTTAATACAAAATAATACTAATCTAATAATCTAGTCTAATAAGAATTATATTACATGAGGTCTTTGCACTGATAAATGTCAAGACCATTCTAATTCAGGAAAGGTTAAAATTGTTCTTACAGAAAAATTTGTCATTTCCCTAATTATTGTAATTCATCGTTTGTTTAAATAGGCAACTTAATAAATTATTCAGTAATGCTGTCTCTGGACTCTATACAAACTCTAAACATGCCATTTGTGTTTCAACAATGTAGATCAAGAACTCAACAATAAGTTTATTGGTAATTAAATTTATGAGGCTTACATTTGCTTAGGATACACATTCTGTTTAATTTCATAGATCAATTGGACACTGTAACAATTATCCAATTACTGTTTATCTAAATAATGTTGTAGTGTTAAGAGTTTACTAATGTAATTTTCAAGGATGTTCTGGCGAAGACAGGCTTCAACTGATTTATGAACACTAGTCTGTACAATGTGTACATTAAATGTAGCTGGCCTTGCTTCAGGAGGAACCTGCCTTCCGCACACATGGTGCTGAAAACAATTAAATTTTATTAGTCAATTAGTCAACAATATTTTTTTTTTACTTGTCAAAGGATTATTTCTATTGTACATTGATTAAAAAAAAAAACTAAATAAGGCTTAAACATGGTGAGAGAAAGTTTACAGATAAGATTTTTACAAATAAATAATAATAAAAAATGTTATTCATGTTTTATGATTTTTTTATTTTATTTTGATTGACACTGTCTTTGTTACAAGGTCTTTTGGCATGTGTTTTAGATTCTGTACAGTCCACACAACAATACACATGATCAAAATAGGATTATTTTAATTGTCTGTTCCCGGAAAGATTTAGGGGGTGGTCACAGTTTCCCGTCCCCTGAGCACCACACACTCTACACTCTTGGTTCAAAACCTTTGAACTGTACGTCACTCAGAATTAATGTGACACTAGCTACACAGTCTGGTGCAAAACTATACACCCACTCATACTGATTTTAACCTTATATATAATACAACACCCACAATGACTTGACCATAGAGACTCTACTTACCTCTTAAATTGCTTTACACAGACTGTAATAATGCAATTTTACATAATGTCACTATGTAAATCATGTCAAAGGTTAAAGTGGAGTATTTCACATGTTTACTTAATTGAGGCAGACAGACAATGGAAACTTCTGCCCTATTTATTAATGACTCCATGAGAGGGCCACAATTACTGTAATCCCAGTGTTGCTTGTCAAACTGCAGGTTTACTATTTAATGAGGGTTAGAGGGAGCCTCCTGGGACTGGACCAAGTGGCCTAAAATCCCACTTCTAATTTAACCTACTGAGGTTCATTTGATGTGAAAGTAGATTTGTTCAGCTATTTGAATGATCACCAACACCAAAGTTTTTCCTTGGTTAAAAAGCAATCATCTGCTTAAATACTCTATGAGAAATACCTTCTCATATGCCATTGCCATTGCTCTCTTCATTTTACCATTAGCCTCTTTTTGAGTCAAATAAAATGTATTTGAAGTTAACTGGGGGATACTGATAAAATTTAGATTTTGAAAAATTGCTAAATCTTGAAATCTATAAATTGCATTTAAATTTTACTCTTGAAAGTTTACTCCCAACTTTCTTACTACAGGTGACGTAATTGACAAAAATTGTACTTTAAACTATTAAAATTAAATTGCATATCTATACAAGTGCTACTGCAGGCAGTTTACATTTCTTATAACTGGATATGATAATTCCTGCTCTGACTTCTTATTCAATTAAAAATTTGTTTTTAAATCAAGATATTTTTTTTAGCATATCACTGATATGCTATTTATATTTATATGCATATGCATATCTCCAAAACAATTACGAGATAGATACAGATAAGATACATTTTTCAACTTATGTTCTACCGCTAAAGCATTGGTTTCTAAACATAGCAGCTGGCCTTCTTGACTGAAAACAATCTCGATCTTTTCACTAGAGCCCTAGTGTAGTAAAAGCTACATGTGGCTCGGCACGTCATGAACTAGTTCCTGATTGCTGCAATATAGGCCAATCTATGCTTAATTCCTATTCAGTGGCCTTTAACAATCTCCTGTTCTTTCACTTAAAGTAAAACCTATTTCCTTTGGTTTTGTTTATGTTATTTAGATACACAGCTGTATTTGTATTTATTTATGCTGGTTCTTATTCAGTACCTCATTGGTTGTAAATAATAGTTAAAAACAATCACTGGATATTGCAGCTACAATGGGCAACATGTAATCATATAGCTAGTTTGTCATTAATAAAAGTCAGAAAAAAGAGATGTTATGTCATGGGGAAAAAAAAGAAAAAAAAAAACACTGGGAATCTGAAAATATTTCCATATTGAACTTTGTTTGATCAGCACAAACCCTCATTAGATAAATGTGTTGAGTCCAAGTAATTAGTCTTATTAGTCTTATTGGCACATAAAGTAAGATTTGTATTTGTAAGGCTGACTTTGGGGCAGTTGACATAGTCTTGGTTCTCCTCAGATTGTTATGTTAGAGCCTGGGTTTTATTTTGGCCTACATTCTTCAGATTCTGGTTCAACATGGAGTAGGCCTCTAAGACCTGATTAGTGCAACAGTGAAGGAGTGTGCATTCCCCAAACCTGTCTGATCTGGCATTATGACTTTTCTTTACATTATATTCCCACTGCCTCACACTGACCTGCACCAACTCATTTACCCAATGCCATTGTCCCATTATGATGAAATATAGCCAGTCATTTCAACCATATCTCCAGCTCAGTGGTACCATCACAAATCATTCATTTACTGCAACAATTCTTATTTAGATGATGGACCTATAGATGGACCACTACAAATACAAAGTCCAGACTTTGCTAAAAAGCTCTTGAGAAGATCTAACCTTCAACCTCCTTGAGATGCAGGAGCACAAACTTCTTTGTCATTAAAACCCCTTGAAAGGATTTCTCCTTGGGATGAATAAAAGTAGTAAAATAAAAAGTAATAATTCTAATCTTGGTTACTGGTAGAAGAAATGTAACATTTTTTTATTAAATAGTAATTAAAATCTGTATTGTTCATGTTCAAGAAATCACTATTCAGAGCTTTTGTTGTAGATAGCACAAAACTAAATCTATTTCATTCTATTCTATTTCAAAATAAAGATTGGAAAATATAAGGAAAGAATGTGAGTTTTTTGTTGTCATATCTCCCAGCCCTAATCATTACATTAAAGTAGAATTTTAAGAAGAACACAGAATAAATGTTGCATCAGCAGAAAATACATGAGATAATTCTGGTGCTGATGCAGCTCCAGTTGTTTAGCCCCTCCTGGCAATACTGTGTGTGGTAGCTCAAAGAGCTGCTTATAACTTATAACTGGCACAAAAGTAGTTTCTGTTGTTGTCATGAAAACAGAAAGTCATTTTGAAGAGAAAACTGTATGAAAAACGTATATAGTAACAGAGATCTTTTATGAGATGTTTATCTGAGGAATAAGTGCTGTATTGTAAAAGGAAATATGTGGGTGCTTTATTAAAGATGTGAATGCTGCAGAGGTCACCTTTGATGGTGTCAAAGTCATTCATTATTTCAAAAGCAAGAACCTCCATACAAAAAAAGAATAAGAAAACTTTCAGCTCCACATTTCTGAATTGTTTCCCCCACTGTTGTTCCTGTCACTTCAAATCTCATCTTTGTTCTTAATAACCCAATAGGAGACCCATTAGTAAGGGCTCATTTCTTGAAGCCTGACTGATTTCCAGTAGCTCCTCCTGTATACGGTAAGGCT